TTTGCTCTTGCTTCTCCTGACAATCCTTTAACAAAATAATATGCAACGGACGTTTTGAAATGCCCATTTAAACAAACAATCATGAATACAAGAGCGTATGATGCTTCTTCTAATTTTTTTTTTGTTTCATTGCCTATGTCGACGAATCCATAACAAGCATTATTTCTGAACTCGACTTGTTTTTTTATCGACATCTCATCCACTTGTAAGCCAAATTTTAATTCTTTATTATTCAGCCGCTCTTTTTCTATCATTTGTCAAACATTGTGTAGTACGGGTTGACTAATGCCAGGAGTAAGATTGACTTTCAAAAACCAGCGTCGTACAGTTTGTGGGCATGGTAACGTTTTCATAAAGGTTTCTCTTAAATGCGTGTATGCTGCAGTCGAATAAAATAATAAAGAGCATGCAAAGTCCTTAAGTTCAGATGAGTAGAAATTGGATTTGTTGGACGAATTAATATTTTTTATAATTTCATGAAGGACTGGAGACGAATGAAACTGTAAGGAAAAAATATAAAAATGCACACACAATTTGAAATAAATTATTTATTATTACAGATTCAATTTACATGATTGTGGAGTTTTGTAGCATATGTAAAAATCGATTATAATAGAATAAACTCAAAATTTATTCGACAAATCATAAAAAACTATATTATTAAAAATTCATATTATTATAAATAAGCTAATATTATAATACATTAATAAAAAAAATCATTTGTTAAAATCATTTTCCTGCTACTTTAAGAAACAATTTTTATAAAAAAAGAAAAAGTCATTATAGAGTTCTTAAAACATACGATAATAAAAAAATTAATATTATAAAAAATCATTATCTACATAATATACAAATTAATTGAAAATATTACTCAAATTTTCTTAGACATTTGCACTTACGTTTAAAGCGTCAAAACCTTCTTTTGTTATGAGCCCAATGTAAGTGAGCCTTGTAAATGTTTCAATAAATCAGATAAATTTGTTATTTTAGAATTCAACCGACTAATAGTTTGATCATTTGCTTTTAATTTCTTTCTATTTGACTCATAAAAATGTCTCACAGCTTTGTAAGCATCTTCTGACGTGAAATCTTCTGGGCGAAGGTCACCGATGTAACGTATCTTTTTGGGACACTTGTAACTGGAAATAGGAGCTAGCGACTCATTTGTTCTGCAAATATATAAGTAGAGAGTTAAATACGTACACACAGAACTAAACAAATGAGCAACATTTCTTTATTATCAATGCATACATCAAGTAGACTGCTAGTTACCTTAATTCCTTTTTTTCATTATTACTTTCACAATTGTATACTGGAGATCATAAATTACTTTCATCACTATTTTCTGTATCCGTATCGCTTATAATTTCCATTAAGTGAATGTCCATGAAGTTGACATCTGTTCGTGTGACTCAATTTGTTCATCATTATGATTATCTAATCTAATAAAAAGCAATATGTCAATTAAAAACGGTTACTTAAACAAAAATGAGTATGCGACATTTTTATTTTTGTTTAATCAGGTTTTACTGCATGGTTACTTATATTTTATACCTTTTATTGCTTTTTGATTTACTGTCTTCGTGATTCGGTTGAGGCAGTAAATTTGTGTCAATTTTGCACGTTTTTTTCAGGTTCTGATGTAACAGTTGTCTGTTCATTTTCACAATCATGTTGTGCACTGCAAGAAATATACAATAATTTTTTTTATAATAAATAAATGAAAACATCACCATCTCGTGTATATTTATCAAGAATTATTAATATCTGAACTTTCAATAAAAGGTACTGCTTCAACAGCTACAGTTTTGATAACTTTGCTTTCGATTACTTTATATACAAAATCTGATTTCTTAAAATGCAAACTGCACACTTTACTTGTTTTGGCAACTTGATCGCATTTAAATATTGCAAGCCAACGTTTTTTACGCTCTTCATCAGCTGGAAAACTATACAATTTTATTTTTAATTAAAACTGTGTCAAATGTTTACATTTATTTTTAAATCTAACCTAAAACTTAAAATACTTTAAGATCCATCAAATTAATTACTTATGAAATGGCACCTCTTTCCTTACACTTTTTGACAACTTACAAATTATACAGTAGGCAACCATTATTAACAAACATTTAGTCCACTAATAAAAGAAGAGTTAAGCCATAATCACTACACATGTACGCGTGACTAAGTAGTAGCACACACGCTGTCTTCTGCATAACGCAGGAGAGCCGCATTCTCCTCCGACTCCTCACTCGTACCCCATGGGACCTCTCTTACATCTATATATACGACGTCGCGGCAGGCAATTCCATACGTGCTAAAAAGAGACAGGAATGCCAAGCTCTTTCCCCCACCACTTTGAGATGTTGTTCTCAAAGCAAAGCATTAGCTGCGCGGTCTATTGTATAAGTCTATGATTCGTGATGCTGTAAAACTCGTGTGACAAAATAAAAAAAATTTTTGTCAACGAAGAAATAAGAAAAATTTGGGAAACAAACCAAAATGCTATAAGTACAACAAATAGTCACCAATATTAAATAGTTTCTGGTAATGATGGCTGGAGAAAAAGAGGCTTTTTTTCTATGTTCAGCTTAATAAGATATTATTCTAATAAAGTTTTAGATATTGTGAAATTTTCATTTTGCAAAGCTTTTAACAATATGGAAAAATACAAAGGGACACCTGAATATGACATTTGGTCTGAAACTTATCAAGGAAAGTGTAGAATTAATCATAATGGAACAGCAAACGTTTAATGCACACAGTTGCTATTTACATCTCTGAGAGTATAAAAAGACCAGCTATCTTGTGTAATTATCAACAGTTTTTTTATGTAGAATCATGTTAAATTTCAAAGATGTCAGGTATATAATGGCTTTTGCAGAAACACGATGTTGTTAGTCATCTCGAAAAGAAATTGTGAAGTTTTAAAATTACTTTTATCTGGAATTTTATTAGAAGATAATAACAAATTGGCTAAGGAAATATTTAATTAAAATTTAAGTAGTAACGTTGCTAACTAAAAAGAGAAATCGGCTGCAAGTTACTGAACGCGGCGAATTAAGGCTGTTTTTAAGTGAATTTGAGCCTGATATTAACAAACTCGTCAAAATGCATCAGATTCATCCTTCACATTAGATAAGTTTTAAATTCAAAGCCTTCTTTTAATGTTAATAAAAATACTTCTAAATATGATAAAGTATGAGTTTTATTTCCTCTCATTGAAACATTTTTTGATCTCAGAAATAGGATATGGGTCATACTCTATTTCTCCTATCCATATAATAATGTATGTTTAAAAATTATATTTGCAATGACTGTTTTTAAGAAACGCAACAGATGATAATGTAAAAATGAAAGTTAAAAAATGGGGGGGGGGCACTAGATTTTTTTTAAATCTCAAACTGGGCGATGGTCAAAATAAGTTTAAGAACCTGTGATATAAAGTAAAAAATTTAGATATAGAAGATACAGAAATTTCTATTTAAATTAATATCAGGTTAATGCAATATTTTTATGCGCATAACGCATTTTTTATAAATTATTAATTTCTTTTTAAAATGTTAATATCAATTTTTAGATTTTAATCTTTGATATTAATTTCTATTTTTAATTTTTGATCATAGTAAGTTGTAATCAAAAAATATCGAGAGTGGTCCACTAAAACGCAAACTAAATTTTTTATCCAAATTTATTTTATCCCCTTCAAAATAATCCCTTCTCATTGCAATATATTTATGTCAGGTTTTTTTTCAATCTTCGAAGCACCTTTATAATCGATTTCAAGTATAGCCTTCACAACGCGCAGAGAATTCTCTTTTATCGAGTTTATTGATTCAAAACAATGTCCGCAAAAGTAATTTTAGTCTATGGAATCAGAAAAAGTTATATGGTGCCATATCAGGCGAATACAGAGCTTATAAAATGGAATTCGTTGAATTTATAGCCAGAAATTCACGAACTAGACGAGAAATGTGAGCAAGAGCATTATAGTGGTTCAAAATTCATGAATTTTAGTCCCACAAATCCAACCGTTTTTTTAGAAATTGCTTTACGCAAACGACGCAAAATGCTCAAATAATATATTTTGTTGAAAGTTTGATCAATTGGAAGAAAGTTTGATCAATTGGAAAAAATGTACAACACTGCAATAATAAAAAAAGACTATCAACAAGATTTTGATTTTGTCTGACTTTGACGAGATTTGTTTGGTTTTGCCTCATCTTTAGCACGCCATTTACTCAATTCTTGAGTTGTTTCGGTATCATGTGCTTAAATACATGTCTTGTTACTATGCAAATTCTTTTCTGGACAAAATTTGACATGTTAAAAAACGCCAGAAGTACTTTTTTACCCACAAAATATGCGTTTATTTGTAGATTAAGAAGAGTTATGACCTGAAATCTTAAGCAGAGATTAAAAACTGTACTACCAATAAAAAAAAAGTTTCTTCGATAGGTTGGAAGTACGCAGTTTAAGTGAGCAAATCCAAATACTTTTTTTTATCAGACTAATATTTAGGTTTTTTTTTATTTTTGCCACTAATAATTTCATACGTATAGTTCTCATTTTATTTAACGTTAACCTATGTACGAGGTCTGTTCAAAAAGTATCGCGAATTTTGTGTTTTTTCAAAAATTATATATTTATTCATGAATATCTATTTTGTCTCCTTCAAAGTAATCCCCATCAGATATTACACACTTGTGCCAACGTTTTTTCCAATCCTCGAAGCACTACAAAAAATCATTTTTTGTGATTTTGTTCAGCTCCTCCTTCGATGCCATCTTTATCTCCTCAATTGTAGAGTAGTGTCGTCCTTTCATGTGCCTCTTCAGTTTCGGGAACAAGAAAAAGTCACAGGGGGCCAGGTCTAGGGAATACGGTGGCTGCGGCATCATTAGTGTGTTGTTTTTGGCCAAAAATTCGCGCACAAGCAACGATGTGTGAGCAGGGGCGTTGGTACGAATTTCGCGGCGACCCGTCTCATGCCCAAATCATTAGTAAAAATCGAATGGCACGAGCCAATCGATATGTTTAAGTCCTCAGCAACTTCTCTAACGGTGATTCGACGATTGGCCAATATTATTTTCTTCATTTCATCAATGTTCTCGTCTGTTGTTGACGTGCTCGGGTATCCGGCACGCTCTTCGTCGTTCACATCTTCTCGGCACTCTGAGAACATTTTGTACCACCGATAAACGTTGCTTCGGTCCAAGGTAGCTTCACCATATGCCACAGTCAACATTCGGAATGCGTCCGCGCACTTAATTTTGTTTTTCACACAAAATTTGATACAGATTCTTTGATCCATTTTTTGGATCAATTTTGTCCAGAAAAGAATAGGCAAAAA